AGGCTTGGCCTCACATCTTCAATTAAAGATGGATTTGTGTCCATTGCCTGATCATTTCTAGAAGATGATCTAAGTAATTAACTGGTGCTCATTAGGGGGTGAAGAAGAGAAATGCAAGTAATGTTTCATCATCAAGAGAGGCTGATAGTTATTGTAATCCCATAGCCTGGATCCTGATCTGATCATCTTACCCTATACTTCTTGAATAGCTTTCAAAAACTTTCACAAGCCTTTGGAGTCAGGATAAAATCAAGCCTCATTAACCTGGCTCAGTCTTGCTGTGTACACCTCTACAAGTTGTGCTGTCAGTAACCCCTGATTCCTGAAATATGGTTAGCATTGCACCAGGGGTCTTGTATACTGATCCCTCAAGTGTGTCTTAGAATAACACTCCATGAGCTATTTGCGCTAAGTCTGGTCCTGTGACAGCAGGAAGGGTTATTATCTCAGATCACCACCATAATTGCTAAATAAACTCTTTCTTCTAGGCTAAAGCTATAATCCTTACTTTTGTGCATCCCTAAATTTAGCTGAATGTATCTTCACATTTGAAATTGAGCAATTCATCACATGCAATTATGTTTTCTCCATTGCATTATTTGAATCTTTAAGCATGATTGTGTTTTCTCATGTGTTAGTTAAACTAGTTCTGTTAAGGAAGAAAAAAAATGAGAGGGGGGGGGGAGAGAAATAACATTTTTTTTATAGGAAGAAAAGATGTAACTCCATATTGAGTGCATACATGGTGGTATATTGTTTTACTTAGAACTGGGAAAATACTGGAAGGAATTATACAGCAGCATGAATAGCTTCTGAATGCTACTGTGCCTGCAATGAGTAGTGGAACAGAAGGCAACTATAAAAGTCCATTTTGTTGGCAAACTGAAGATACATTATCCAAAAAGTGAATTTTTCAGAGGAGAAATTTTATTTCTGCTAAAGATAATGAGGAAAAAAGGGGAATTACTCCTAATACCAAGTTGCCTATAGATAATTTGAATATGTACTCTCCATGCACACAGACACATAAACAAACACGTACAGCCCTTTTGACATTATAAGCATCCAGGAGTTCCAGGAAATGTTCCTCCAAACAGTTTGTCATGCTAAATCATTCCATGGAAATTTGCAAGGATAGCTCACTGTAATAGGTTGTTATAAGCAGATTGTGCAGTGAAAATTTCATAGTTGCTTCATAGTTGCTTCTGAAAACTAGTCTTGACTATTCAGCCAAAAGGTGAGTCCATATGTGTATGATGGCTGCTTTCCTTTTTGTGGATTTTTTTCTGTTTAAAATTTGGGGTCATCCTTAGCCTACAACCTTGTTCATGGACTTTGAGTTTTTATTGATTGATTTAGTTTGATAATATCTTTTCATGGATTGTTCTTAGGACAGTTCTGCTCAGGAATACTACATATTCCAGTGAAGATGGGGTTTTTTTTCATTTATTTATTAAATTTCAAAGGCACCAGTACCTTGTTTCCTTGGGAGAACAATCAGGTTTTCAATGATTTCTTAAACAATGTAAGGGTGGGCGTCCATAGTAGATGCTGTTTTGTTAATCTTCATAGAGCAGTGGTTCTCAACCTTCCTAATGCTGCGACCCTTTAATACAGTTCCTCATGTTGTGGTGACCCCCAACCCCCGATCCAGCTGGCCAGGGAGGGGGGGGCAGGAAGGCCGCTCCGCTGGCTCTGCCCAGCCTGGTTGGAGAAGCACCATTCCTCTCCCTCTTTCTCTCTTTCCTCTCTCTCTTTCTCTTTCTCTCCTCTCTTTCTCTTTCCTCTCTCTCTTCTCTCTCTTTCCTCTTTTTCTTTCTTTCTTTCTTTCTTTCTTTCTTTCTTTCTTTCTTTCTTTCTTTCTTTCCTCCCTCTTTTCCTGTTTCTCTTTCCTCTCTTTCCTTTCTCTTTCCTCTCTTTCCTCTTCCTCTTTCCTCTCTTTCTTCTCTTTCTCTTTCTTTCCTCTCTCTTCTCTCTCCCTCCTTCCTCTTTCCCTTTCCTCTTTTTCTCTTTCCTCTCCCCGTTTCTCTCTTTCCTCTCTCTCTTTCTCTTTCCTCTTTTTCTCTTTCCTCTCTTTCTCTCTTTCTCTTTCCTCCCTTTCTCTTTCTTTCTCTCTCTCTCTTTCCTCTCTTTTCCTCTGTTTCTTCCTCTTTCTCTCTTTCCTCTCTCTTTCCTCTTTCTCTTTCTTCTCTCTCTTCTCATTCTCTCTTTCCTCTCTCTCCCTGTTTCCTCTCTTTCCCTCTTTCCTCTTTTTCTCTTTCCTCTCCCCGTTTCTCTTTCCTCTCTCTCTTTCTCTTTCTCTCTCTTATTTCCTCCCTTTCTCTTTCTCTCATTCTCTCTCTTTTCCTCTCTTTTCCTCTGTTTCTCTCTTTCCTGTTTCTCTCTTTCCTCTCTCTTTCCTCTTTCTCTTTCTTCTCTCCTCATTCTCTTTTTCCTCTCTCTCTCTCTGTTTCCTCTCTTTCCTTCTTTCCTCTTTTTCTCTTTCCTCTCCCCGTTTCTCTCTTTCCTCTCTCTCTTTCTCTTTCCTCTTTTTCTCTTTCCTCTCTTTCTCTCTCTCTTTCTCTCTTTCCTCCCTTTCTCTTTCTTTCTCTCTCTCTTTCCTCTTTCTCTTTCTTCTCTCTCTTCTCATTCTCTCTCTTTCCTCCCTCTCCCTGTTTCCTCTCTTTCCCTCTTTCCTCTTTTTCTCTTTCCTCTCCCCGTTTCTCTCTTTCCTCTCTCTCTTTCTCTTTCTTCTCTTTATCTCTCTTTTCTCTCTCTTTCGCTCTCTTTCTTATTTCCTCCCTTTCTCTTTCTCTCTTTCTCTCTCTTTTCCTCTCTTTTCCTCTGTTTCTCTCTTTCCTCTTTTTCTCTTTCCTCTCTCTTTCCTCTTTCTCTTTCTTCTCTCTCATTCTCTCTTTTTCCTCTTCTCTCCCTGTTTCCTCTCTTTCCTTCTTTCCTCTTTTTCTCTTTCCTCTCCCCCTGTTTCTCTCTTTCCTCTCTCTCTTTCTGGCAGGCTGCGGTGGAGACTGGTGCCGCACGGCCCGACAGCCCCTCCGCCAGCCCAGCTGCTCCCCCCAGGTACCCCTCTTCCTCCTGGAGCCCAACTGAGCTTCCTTGGGGGCAGCAGGAGGAAGAAGGAGAGGAGAAGGGTGAGAAAACCATCACCGCCACTCCAGCCAAGACTCCGCGCTGCCAAGCCTCGCCCTCTGCCCATCCGATGGAGCCGCGGTGCAGGCTGGTGCTGCGCAGCCCGCCAGCCCCTCCGCCAGCCCAGCTGCCCCCCCCAGGCACCCTTCTTCCTCCCAGCGCCTGCCTGAGCCACGTTGGGGGCAGTAGGAGGAAGAAGGGGAGGAGGAAGAGGATGGCAAGGAAGCCGCGGGCCCCAGGAGGCAGCTCTTCTCTCCTACCTTTGTTGAATCTCCTTCTTCCTTCCTGGCAGCCTGGACTCTGGCACGTCTTCCTGGCCAGTGGGTCCAATGGTCCAGCTGGCTGGGGATCACAGGGGCTGGTCTCCCTTGGGCCGCAGGTTACGGGACGACTGGTCTTCTCAGCGGAGCCTCCAGTGGGCTGCTCCCAGCAGGGATCCCGGGGCTTCCCCGGGCAGCTCCAAGGCCACGAGGCCCTGGCCACGCTTCTCCCAGGGGGTGGAGCACTCGGGCGCAGGGCCAATCAGGAGCCCTGCAGGAGGTAAGTCTGCAGGAGAGAGAGAGAGAGAAGGGAAGCAAAAGTGCCTCTCTCTCTCTCTCTCTCTCTCCAAACGGCGGAAGAGGCCATGCGGAGATGGGTGTGGAGCGGTGTCTCGGTTCCTAAGACCATTGAAAATATGTGTTTTCTGATGGTCTTAGGCGACCCCAAAAGGGTTGCGACCCACAGGTTGAGAACCGCTGTCATAGAGATTGACGACCTAGATTGGCTGACTCCTGCTCACTTTTCCCCAATAGTGTAAAGGTATACAAATCCCACTTCCATGTAATTATGGCTCAGCTGAAAGAAGATATTTCACCTCACAACCAGTGGTGGGATTCAGCCAGTTTGCACCACTTCGGCAGAACTGGTAGCTAATTTTTTGTTGCCCAGACCCAGAATGGACTTCCGAAAGCGGCATCCACACAGAGAACAGGTTATTCACATATTTGAATTCCACCACTGCCCACCACTCACAGTGTGGCAGTCACACTACGATTATGTTCCATGTGAACAGGACTCTTGATCAGCTGCATTGTATGTTTTGCCTTGTGTCACTCACAAGGGATGTTTTGCCTTGTGTCACTCACAAGGGATCCATTCTGTTTTGTCTTGTGTCACTCACAAGGGATCCATTCCAAATGGAAGAGCTTTCTACAAAGGTATTAATTTTCCTAATATATGCAGTTCTGCCAGTTTCCTTTAGACATGCTATAAATGACATGGCTAAAAAAATGACATTAAAATGGCTTCAGGTTATATGGTTAATAAGTTCACATTGGTCCATGTAAACATACTTTCTTTACAGGAAGTCCTAAGGCCTTTAATTGGCCATTGATCTTGCTGCCAATGGCTCACGGGCTGATATCCACATTAAGTAAGGCTGAAGGAAGTGTTGGCTTTCAACCAAGTAAGCGGGATGCCCAGCTGGAGACAGATAGGCACAGTATCTAGAAGGAACCCCAAGCCAGCAGGCTGGAGGGACAAAACCTGGTTTCTTCTCTGCTTTTTGGCTACCCTCATATCCAAGGCATATTTCTGGTTTCTTATGAAAGCGCTTTGAGAATTACTAAGCTACCTCTCTACTGTGTGTGCTGTGGAGACTTTAGTGCTCACTGGCCTATGTTATTCTAGCATGTAGACGCTGGGCTTCCTCTTGTTTGCCTTCCAAGTCCTCTGGCTTCGGCTGGGTCTGACTCGGGAGTTTCCTTATCAGTCTCGTGCAGGCAGCTCCTGTGCTGCTTATCTACAAGCTGCAGAACATCCCCTGTCCAAAGAGGGCAGGAAATCTCTCTCATGCAAGGGAGGAGAGCAGGAGGGGGCGGGAAGAGGGAGGGGGCTTGGCCCAGGCTCCATCTTCAAAGCAGCTCCTTCCAGTGGCCAAAGGGAGCCTGTCAAAAAAGAGAAGTGGCCACAGGGGGGATTCAGAGGGAACAAGGTGGCAGGAAAAGCTGGAGCCTAATTGATTTGACGTCCCCAACACCACTGCCAGTGACAATAATAATTATTTGCAAACTCTGGCTGAGGGAACCAGTGGCGAAGAGAGGAAGCAGCCGCGAATCATGGCCCCCAAGCATGGCAGCCAGCAGCAGCCATGTGGCTGACGATGAGGGTAAATTCTTGGATAATACCAGTGGGTTACATCCTTTCCAGACTCTAGAACTGGACTCCAGCATCTTGTGTTTCATCATCAGGTAGATTCTCACAGCACCCTCTCTACATGTCCCTCCACTTTGCCATCCAGGCCTCCTTACAATCAGCAGTTAGGTGACCCTTCATTTCCTTTGAAGATCCCCAGCAATCACCTGGAATTCTTCCATCTGCCTCCTTGCCAGCAACAGGGACTTGAAGATGTCCATCTTTGACCTTTGGAAACTGGAAGATGGCTTTGGTCCTGCACAGTTGGACAGGTGAGGATTGGGGCATTTAGGGGCTGGTAGAGAAAGCACGTTTCTAGGCAAAGAAGAGCATTTCAGCAAGGATTTGATTTCAGGAAAGATTGTGGACCTATGTATTTCCATTTATTAGTTCCACATAGGTTGGGCAGTTGAGCTATTTCCCTTTCTTGCAATTTACTATTGACCTAAGGCTAAATTTCTTCTACATATATTGCTATGCATGTTTTCCTTGTATGCAGTATCATGTATTTTTTTCTTTTTAGTAGTAAACAGTCTCTGTATTTTTATAACCATTCCCTTATTATATGAAGCAATCTATAAAAAGGAGGTTTAAAGCATCGTCTAAAATAATGTGTTTTCTTAAAACTTTTTAGTTTTGATTTGTATTTTTCTAACTTGGTTTGTCTTTTTCTAACTCTCTCTCTGTTTCTTTAAATGCCCAGTTTAAGAAAAGCAGTAGCCTCTATAAGCTTTAGAACATATAACTACAGAATGAAAATTTCACATTACTCTTCTATAATCACAAGCCAAATAGAATTTGCATCAAAATCTAAAAATTCTAAAATTTAGAAAACATCCTGTTGGAAATTATAGCTGTTATATGAGTCTTCATTTCTCTTTGCGATGTTTACAATTAAACAATTTCCAAACATCAATAAATTTATAATTACCGGTTATACTTTTCATTTGAATTTCAAATTCTTCTGAGTTCTTATAGTTTTTCTTAGAATGCATCATTGTTATCATTTAACCTATAGTGATATATCTAATTAGTCTGACAATTGCATCCCTTATCATGTCGTATCAGCTTCATGGTTTCCTTACAGAATGCAATCTGAAGTAAAACTGAGTGATTTATTTGGTTCAATGTACTTTGTAAGATTAAATTCAAAGCTCTTTCAAGAATTCTATCAGAGTAACACTTAATATTCTTTTATCTATTATTCTGACTTACTCTACACTAAGGTACACTAAACTTCTGTTGTTATAGTCTGTAAAATAAGGACCCATATGACCATTTATGTAAGAAGCATGTTTGAATTGCAGAATAATACACTAATTAAAGAATGTACTTTTAAGGATACAGTTGGCATTTATACCCCTAGATTATAGAGCTGACCTCAATATTTTGGGAAGCTGGAAATATTAAATAGGGGAAGAGATTTTTCCCGCTTGTTTTAAGGAAGGGCCTTTATAACCATTACACACTTCCTCCGTGACAAACTTCCGTGTAGGAAAAGGAATAAAGGCTGCCTGTATATTGTCATATGTGACATTGCACACACATATTTGCTTTCGTATAAGCACATTTGCTGAAAACCTGAGGATCTTTGTATATGTTCCTCACATAGATAAACTAGAAATTTAAGTGTCGTGAAATTGTCACAAGAGAGAATCAATATATGTGAGAAATGTATTCACTAGGCCTTTCTTCCGGCAGAAATTGTAATGCTATTATGTCACACAAATATTGTTGAGTTTTATGCTAATAAAATATTATATGCATAATAACAGCCATTTCGTTTCCCTTTTCACATTAAGGAAAAATTTTAAGGGGCAAAATTGATGCCTGACACTTTACAAAATCCTAAGATTTCTATTGTACTCCTTGAAAGTCCTACACAAACACACACACACCGGCAATGGGCTTCACTTTCCTCCATTTTTGGAACAAATCTTTGATATGCCAAGCAAAACTTGGAGTGGGTCTGTATTGTGCATAATTTAATCAGTGCTTTGAAGAAAACAAAACGAAACGAAATGAAATAAGCAGCTGTGCTTGCATTAGCAAATGATTAATAATCCACTTAATTAGAAGTATTTTGATTTTAGTCAGTACCCTTCAAAGTAAGAGAACAAATTTAATTTAATTCACTCAAATTATTTGTGGATTAACTATAGTGAAATTTCCATAGTTATTTAACTATATAGTTAGTTATTTAGCTATAGTTATAATGTTTTATGCAGCCCATTTTCTCCTCTGTGTAATAGCTGCCCTAGTGAAGAGCTGCACACCCAAAACTTGTGAATTTCTATGTAATAAGGCTGCTTTTCAGCTTCAGAAAATATGATAACTCAGGTATTTCAGTTGCAGAACTGGCTTTTGAAAAAGCACTTTCTGCTTTCTAATTGTATACATATCCAAATATACACATTCAAAGGGACCCCTTCTTTTTCTTTTAATTTAGGGTAAGAATAGCTTTGAAAAAGATCCTTGGATTCTGCTCGCTGGGAAGCCAATCCCTCTTGATGACATTTGCAAAACCATTTCCTTAATTTTTTAAAACATTTTTATTGCCTGGTATTGGAACAAAGGATTGAGGCAGTGGCCCGGCATGTGCTTGGCTGTTATTTTATCTCTTTCATTTCAGTTACTTGCTTTGCAAAATGTCATCCCATCTATGTCAGCGATGAATCAGAGATGTGGGAAATCTCATTTATATTGAGTAGATGGTCAAGGATTTGTTCTTCTATTTGTTGCTTCACAATCTATTCAAACAATCCCACTGACAATGAAATCTCATTATTCATGTGTGTGCTTTAATATGCACTAGGTCTGATGGAGTTTTGACTAAAAACCAAATAGCTACAAAAAGGTAAAATCTTTAAAGTAAAAATTCATTGGGTGAAAAATGTAAGCATTGTCTGAACAAACTATATTTTCCAGAACTACGCATGTTTCATCACTGAAAGGTTACAACAGCCTTATCTAATCTGCTACAACCTAGATGTACTGGACTATATCTCCTGTTTTCAGAAGCAAGCATAATGCATGATGGGCTTTGTGGTTCTGGAAAATTGGGAAAGGTGAAGCTAATATGAGCATGGCAGCTGTGTTTTTAGCCAAGGCAAGTGCAATATGAACCCATAGCAAGTGCTGCCATTCTCTCCATTGTTAGACGCATTCACCACAGGACATAATCTTATAACAGTCCTGACACACACTGTGTGATCCAGGATGAGTTGTGTCTTGGTCATTTCTAAGTCTCCAAACTGTCCCAAATAAGGCTGGAAAGTTGCCACATTCTATTCCTCCACTCACATCATCACCCCTGCTACCACTACAAAACTCTGGAGGCCTGATCAGAACAGGTGTCCCAAATTCTCTTTGCCCTTTTTCAGTTACGTATGGCTACAAAGGGGAATGAGTGAAAACTAAAGCAACAATACACTCAAAGAGGACTTCTTTGTCTTAGATGAGGAAAGGACAAGGTAACTTACTGGTCAGCTGTTTGGACATTACAACCAGTACTTTTTTTGTAAAAAAAAGAAAAGATGCCGGAACTCACACATGTCATACAACCCGCCTTGCCTATCCTACAAGGTTCCATCCAAAAAAGGTGTCGGAACTCCGTTCTGGGTGTTCTATGACAAAAAAAAGCCCTGATTACAACTATTCCTTCCCCAACCTCACAAGTGAACATGCAAATCAGCTACTCCTTATGCATTTTTTTTCAGTCCTGCTCTTCATCTCTGGGGGCTGCTGGTAGGGAGAATTGCTGATAAGAAAGGTGTTTTCCGTAGCACCTCTGGAGTGAGTGTAACCCCTTCTCTTGCCCTGAAGATCAAATTCCAAATATTTTTCATGCAGTAACCAACAGAGCAGAAATATAAAGCTTAAGTTTGTTAATTGCAAATAAGTGTTTGTTTCAAGTTATAATGGTGTTGATCATATCTCAGAAATGATCTCATAGAGTAAAAAACAAAAACTCTAGAGCAGAAAGGCATCTTAATAAAATAAGGCTAAAATGTTTGCGGGTCTTGGTTCAAGAAAAAATATCAGGAAGGAAGGAAGGAAGGAAGGAAGGAAGGAAGGAAGGAAGGAAGGAAGGAAGGAAGGAAGGAAGGAGTTGGGATATTTTTTTTCTTATGCTATATATATTTACTAGGTGAGGGCCTTTTTAGGTACCTATCAAAAGGCATTTACCACCTTAATAGATTTACTTGGCTACTAAAATAAGCAGATGTAGAAATGAGGAAAACAGGGTATAAAAATGTCTTTCTGATTTGCCCAGGGAAGGTACATCTCTTCTGGAAGTCGCTTGGCTCATGGAAGGTGGAATCAACTAGTTCTCCTCTCCAATGAGAGGTTTCTGTCAATGGAATGGGGAGAATGTGATTTTCAACTGTCTGTCTTTCTGAAACCACCTGTAGTCTCTCAGAATTTGTTCTGGAGGGCAGAAGAAATTTCTGGAAAAGAGAGAGTTGAAAGTCACACTTCTCTCTGTTCCTTTCAGCAGAGGGAAGCTTGTGGGATTGAATTAGGTCAGCTGTTGAAACTTGCTTCAGGGCTGAGAAAAGCATAATCAATATTATTTATTTTTATTTTTTAATTTATTTATTAAATTTATATTCCTTATTATTACTAATACTAGTACTACTATGAATATTATCTGTTCACAACAATCAGAAGTGCCAATTGTCAGTTCTTTAGTTGGCGTAATTATTTACAATTATTATTATTGTTGTTGTTTACATCTCTAAGCCTCCTGACTCCCAGGAACTCTGAGTGGTACAAAAATGATTAAATTTATTTATTAATATTTATTTATTAATGATTAATAAATGTATTTATAAATTTATTTATAAATGATTAAAATTTATTTATAAATGATTTATTTATAAATTTATTATAAATTTATTTATAAATAGATTTATTTATAAATGATTAAAACATAAAAATGTGACAATAAAAATATCAAAAAGCAAAGAAGGATAGAGATGGCAGGATAACCAACCAGGTGAAAAAAAAATGAAAGCAACCTAATTTAAATAGAGGCTCCAGTCATGCCCGGTGAAAAGCCGGGTCTTCAGACTTCTTTCAAACACTAAAATTGGAAATCCACCATGGGTAGTCTGACTAGTAAAAAAGAAAACAGAATGCTACATTTGACAGATTTATCTGGTGATGGATCTCTAGACATCTTCTTTCCATTTTTGCTCTTCAGTGGCAAAAGAATTCAGGTAGGAACAAAACATCTGTCAACTTTCTTTGACCGGTTGACTCTTGG